CTGGGACCCCAAAAACGGGTCAGGGACCCCCAAAAAACGGGACTTGGACCCCAAAACGCGACGGGGACCCCAAAAACAAAAAAAACCACAAAACTCCCCGAAAAAAACCTCAAAAAAACCCCCAAAACCCAAAAAACCCCCAAAAATCTCCAAAAAATCCCTAGAAAAACCCCAAAATCCCCCCCAAAGCCCCCCCAGTGCCGACCCCTGCGTGGTGGAGGCCGTCACGCTGACCACCATGATGGTGGCGTTGGTCAGGATCTGCTGAACGTTCTCGTTGTTCTTGCATTTGTCCAGGGAATTGCCCAATTCCTGCACAATTCACCCCAAAAAATGAGAGGGAAAATAAAAAAAATAATACAGGGAGGGTGGTATGGAGGTAGGAATAAAATTCTATTAAAGTTTCATAGAAATTTCATGAAAATCTCACGGAAATAGCGGCAAAAACATCAAAAATGAGCCCAAAAATAGAGCTAAAAACACCCAAAAATGACCCCAAAAATAGAACTAAAAACATCAAAAATGAGCCCAAAAATAGAGCTAAAAACACCCAAAAATAACCACAAAAATCCCACAAAAATAGAACTAAAAACACCAAAAATGACCCCAAAAAATCCCACAAAAATCTCACAAAAATCCCACGAAAATAGCACTAAAAACACCCAAAAATGACCCCAAAAATAGCACTAAAAACACCAAAAATGACCCCAAAAATACCACTAAAAACATCAAAAATGAGCCCAAAAGTAGCACTAAAAACACCCAAAAATGACCCCAAAAATAGCACTAAAAACACCAAAAATGACCCTGAAAAGAGCACTAAAAACACCTAAAATGACCCCAAAAATAGAACTAAAACCACCCAAAAATGACCCCAAAAATAGAACTAAAAACATCAAAAATTACCCCAAAAATGGCACTAAAAACACCCAAAAATCCCACAAAAATAGAACTAAAAACACCCAAAAATCCCACAAAAATAGCACAAAAAACACCAAAAATGACCCCAAAAATCCCACAAAAATCCCACCAAAAATAGCACTAAAAACACCAAAAATCCCACAGAAAACACCAAAAAGATCATCCCAAAATCAGCACTAAATGTCCCAAAAAAAGCCCAAAAATCCCACAAAAATCACCCCAAAATCAGCAGAAAATATCCAAAAAAAACCCCCAAAATACCCCAAACTCAGCTCCAAATACCCCCAAAAATCCCCCAAATGTCCCTAAAATCAACCCCAAAATTCACCCCAAAATTTGGGCAGTTTTTGGGCTGTTTTGGGGATATTTTGGGGATATTTTGGGATATTTTTGGGGATATTTTGGGGATATTTTGGGGGTGGTTTTGGGATTTTTTGGGGGGTGTTTTTGGGGGTGGTTTTGGGTCTGTTTGGGGTGTGTTTTGGTGTGTTTTTGGGGTGTTTTTGGGGTATTTTGGGGTGTTTTTGGGGTCCCCACCTGCGTGCCGCTGTAGTACCGCGGATGGGGTTTAGGGGAAGTTTTTGGGATGTTTCTGGGGTGCTTTGGGGTGTTTTTGAGGGGGTTTTTGTGGTATTTTTGAGGGGGTTTTTGTGGTATTTTGAGGTGGTTTCGTGGTTTTTTTGGAGGTGTCTTTCGGGATGTTTTTCAGGTGTTTTTGGGGGTATTTTGGGATGGTTTGGGGTGT